TAGTATCGTCAATCAAATGGATCCACAAGTCTACTGAGAAAGCTTGTATTACCTTGATTGTCGAGGCGGTAATGGCGGAACATTCTTTAGCATTGGTTTGGTTAGGCTGAGCCATGGTTGATATCTAAATGGATACTGAAAATACATGTTCTGGTTGCTGTGCATATCCACGCCATGGATTTATAATTCTAGACTGAAAAAGGCAGGTGATATCACGCTACGCACCCTGAGTCAGCAAGCATTTCGCTATCTCTTCTGAGCTGTTCCGGAGGCTTTTGGTGAAACAGCACAAGTGCCCGCGCAATCACTTTTTCAATGTCCATAGTAAGTGGTAATTTCGATAGCATTCCATGCATCGTGCCAAAGTCGCATTCGCAGCATAAAATCGTTTCTCTCGCCTCAAGCAGAACCTACGAATGCAGAATGAGGACATGCAATCAAGTAAAGTATTTGATGAAGATAAAAGTGAGACGACATACCCCCGCAGACACGTACAGACTGAAAAGTGGATGAGTTACGAGAAACAGATCAAAAAGACGAGCAACATCTTCAAATCGTTTTAATTGGTGCGAGAACCACGTAATCATCCAGGGGAGAGCAAAAAATGGTTCGACCTATAAGATACCCAACAGTTTGAGGCATCATTTGACGTCAATGTGACAAAATATAGAAGACAAGTATTAACAGGACGTTATATACAACCGCGTACCCCTGATGCTTGTAAATGACGGAATAGCAGCTCATCCGCGGCATCAAGCAACGGAAACAATAATCTTGTTGTGTCCATCACTTGTTCAAATCCTGATCGCATTGGTTCACGTTGATACGTTTCACTGATAACCTGAACTGCTCGCATGGTGTCCATCGAGTTTCCGAGCGTCAAAAGAAATACCGACACGACATCGTGATACCCTTGAAAGTAGAACAATGTAGTGTTCGCATTCAGCACGCTCAAAATTATATTTTTCAATGCGCGACGTTTTGAGAGGCGCTCAGTCTCTTTCAGTCGTTTCAGCACGTCGTAGTGCCACAATGATCGCTCAACGTCCTTTTCAATGAGTGCAGCGTCTCGGTGCTCAGTTTTCACGTTTTCGCCAGAAATAGCTCGAACATTTTGTTTCATGCTAAGAAGACCAAGCAAAAATGGCCATAAAATCGTTCGAAATGCACTCGAAATCAGACCATTCGGTGTGATCGCCAATCGACGTACTTCGCGAAAACACTCGTCGCGATCTTCCTCTGTAGCGACATTTCCTTTACGCTCTAGTGTGCGCAGCCGGAGAACAGCAGCACGAAGCTTAGCTTCCTTGATATGAATTTGACGGCTTTCACGTGCTGTAGGAGCTCGCCCTGGAATGCCTCGCACACGACGTCGGTTGTTGACATGACGCTTCTTGTTCCTCATTTAATTTTACATGGATCTACAGTTCTATAAAATTTGTAATATTGAGACAAAACCTTGCAGATTTCAGTAATCCGACTTTGTGTAGTCAGTTTTAAACACATGGTCCATATATATGTCACATCAGATGGGGCGACAAATATTGTATGATTTCCGTGCTTCCACCTGAGAGTGAACGAATTGGTTCCAGCGCGAAACAATTTTAGCACCACTTTTTTCCGGATCCAATTTGTCAAGAAGCCAGTCATAGACGTAAATCGAGTATATAACATTTTTCTACTTTTATGATGAGGGCAGCAATCAGTCAGTATGTCCATTGGTGAGCGGCAAAGTTTAAGAATTAAAGTCATCATTTAGCAGAATCACCTTTAAGTACGATACCTCGATCACGAATGAATGCAAAATGTACAGCAGAATGTATTGTGAGTCGCATAAAAGCCACCTTAAATGTCAGTGAATCCGACAGCTTCAGAAAGTTAAAGCATTTTGTTTGCCTAATCGTTCGGATAAACAATCAGAATGATGAGTGCGCATACGAAAAGTATGTCTTTGTGACACTAAATTTTATGGGAAAAAGGCATTACGCATGCCCCATTGTATAATACAAATTTTTAGATTATTGCCTGGGCCGTTGCACATGAAAATAGAAGGCTACACCAATGTTATTAGGGTTCGTGTAACCCCGTTACAGAAGCCCCGAGGCACTCTACCAGGCAGAGACCAACGAAGATCTGGAGTACAAAGATAAATATTCTCGTGACAGCGGCACTTCTGGTTCTTCAATCGAAATTCCAACAGTCTTCGGAAAGAGAATCAATATGCGGATGAAAAGGAAGAGGCAAAATGAAAAGTTTTAAGGTCGGGGACCTGGTTTTACTGAATTCAAAAACCCTGCCTACACATGCAGCCTCTGCTATCTTCCGGACGAAGCTTCGTCCACGGTTTATC